TTTTGTGCCTGGGCCCTTGGTCGTGTCCCCTCCGACCACCTTGCTGCTAGAAACTCCTGCCTGGATCATTCTGCCGCCAGACCCAGACCGTCCAAACTGGCTGCGGTCAGAGTCTCCTCATCTGCGGCGTGTTCGTCGCTCAGTGCCAGAAGAGCGGCTTGAGTTCTCCGGAGAGGCAGGGAGCCGTGTGCCGCAGAGGGTCCAGCCCCTCCTTTCCCAGCCTGCTCCCAAGCCGCCCTCATAAACGTTCACTCCAAAGCTCCGGGGTCATCCGCTTGGCCCATATTCACAGCCCCATGCTCACCGCCCAGTCATCGTTCCCAGGCGAGGGACCTACCGGCTTCTCCAAGCGCTGTTGCTGCACCTGCAAGAGATGGCTGTAGGCTCCCTTGTTGTCCTGCTGGCCTGGCGGAGGAGGCCTGTCTCTCCACACGTTGAAACTCCTGGAGGCCTTTCTGTAACTCTTTGCTGCTCCACCACCCAGCACGGGAGTCCCTCTGCGCAGCCTGGGTCACCGGGCCTCCTTGTTGGCTCCCCTCTCCGGGCCTTTGCCTACACTGGAGTGGGAAATCCCAGCCTAGCCCCCCAAGGTCCCGGCACACTCCCCACCCTGGGTGTCTCTGTGCAAGCAGCCCTCACATGCTCTTATGGAAGTTCACTGCCCTGTGGACTCTGTAATGTCTTATGCAGCTGTGAGTCCCAGCACCATCCGGCTTTTCCCGGAGAGTGTGGGGAGAGGGGTCTCTGCTCTCTGGGCTTCTTTATTGGTCTTCCTTCCAGCCCCCCTTTCCTGTCTGCCATTTAATCATCTCCTCGTTAGCTGGCTAGCCACTCAGTCCTAATCAATTATCTCCCAATTTGGCTGGCATGCTCTAAAAACTACCTAGCCCGTGCTAACTGTGCTACTTGAAACGGGACACAGAGATCAGTGTGTGGGAGGGTGTGAGACAGAGAGATCACGGTGTTTGTGTGGGTGTGAGAGAGAGAGGTTGGCACAGGTGAGTGTGATAGACTCACAGATCAGTGAGACACACACACATCAGTGTGTTTCTGTGTGAGAGGCATAGAGAAATCAGTGTGAAGTGTGAGTGTGAGAGACACACAGAGATCAGCATGTGATGTGTGTGGGTGTGAGAAAGAGACAAGTGTTTGAGTGCGATAAAGAGACCCTTAAAAAAGGGAAGAAGGAGGATCCGGGGAACTACAGGCCAGTCAGCCTCACCTCAGTCCCTGGAAAAATCATGGAGCAGGTCCTCAAGGAATCAATTCTGAAGCACTTAGAGGAGAGGAAAATGATCAGGAACAGTCAGCATGGATTCACCAAGGGGAAGTCGTGCCTGACTAACCTAACTGCCTTCTATGAGGAGATAACTGGGTCTGTGGATGAGGGGAAAGCAGTGGATTCCTTGACTTTAGCAAAGCTTTTGATACGGTCTCCTACAGTATTCTTGCCACCAAGTTAAAGAAATATGGGCTGGATGAATGGACTATAAGGTGGATAGAAAGCTGGCTAGATTGTCGGGCTCAACGGGTAGTGACCAATGGCTCCATGTCTAGTTGGCAGCCGGTTTCAAGCGGAGTGCCCAAGGGTCAGTCCTGGGGCCGGTTTTGTTCAATATCTTCCTTAATGATCTGGAGGATGGCGTGGACTGCACCCTCAGCAAGTTTGCAGATGACACTAAACTGGGAGGAGTGGTAGATACGCTGGAGGGTAGGGATAGGATACAGAGGGACCTAGACAAATTAGAGGATTGGGCCAAAAGAAATCTGATGTGGTTCAACAAGGACAAGTGCAGAGTCCTGCACTTAGGACGGAAGAATCCCATGCACTGCTACAGACTAGGGACCGAATGGCTAAATGGCAGTTCTGCAGAAAAGGACCTAGGGGTCACAGTGGACGAGAAGCTGGATATGAGTCAACAGTGTGCTCTTGTTGCCAAGAAGGCTAACGGGATTTTGGGCTGTATAAGTAGGGGCATTGCCAGCAGATCGAGGGACGTGATCGTTCCCCTCTATTCGACATTGGTGAGGCCTCATCTGGAGTACTGTGTCCAGTTTTGGGCCCCACACTACAAGAAGGATGTGGAAAAATTGGAAAGAGTCCAGCGGAGGGCAACAAAAGTGATTAGGGGGCTGGAGCACATGACTTATGAGGAGAGGCTGAGGGAACTGGGATTGTTTAGTCTGCAGAAGAGAAGAATGAGGGGGGATTTGATAGCTGCTTTCAACTACCTGAAAGGGGGTTCCAAAGAGGATGGAGCTCGGCTGTTCTCAGTGGTGGCAGATGACAGAACAAGGAGCAATGGTCTCAAGTTGCAGTGGGGGAGGTCCAGGTTGGATATTAGGAAACACTATTTCACTAGGAGGGTGGTGAAGCACTGGAATGCGTTACCTAGGGAGGTGGTGGAATCTCCTTCCTTGGAGGTTTCTAAGGTCAGGCTTGACAAACCCCTGGCTGGGATGATTTAGTTGGGA